CTCACTCGAGGTGATCACATGTTCACTCGAGATGATCACATGTTGGCAATGAATTATCACATGTTCACCCTGGATGGTCACATAGTTGATCAAAATTGATTACATGTACACTTTTAATGGTCACATTCATTGTAGTTTAAGTAATCACATATATTTGTATACATTGATGATGCATAGTTATCACAATTTCCATTTATAAATCATTCCATACTGATAATTGCAAGAGTAGAATAGTAAGTTGAAGAACATAAAACATGAACAACTATCCCCAACACAATTCTGGAAAGAGGTTTGTTTTACAGCTCTAAACTGGAGAATCATAGAAGAAACAAGAATAAAATATTAAAACTAGATTCTGCCCACAACTCATCTCCATTAGAATTCTTTTGTTTTTATGCAAATAAAAAATTCATCAATTGAAAATGCCGCAAAAACGCAATTTACTTTTGAAATCTAGCTAAACATAATCATTAGCAGAGTTTTGCCCCAGTCTAACATTACAAAACAGAACTCTTCACCAAAATACAGGAGTTATACATGACTTTAAAAGTTCATGAAACATAATTGCACGCAGAGCAAACTAAAGATGAAAAACAAAAAGAGGATGATTACATGCAAACTTCTGGTTATATTATTTCATGGAGCAACACTGTCCCCCTTCTCTACAGCTCAAGCTATTTACATAATCCACCCTTCACACCCCTCCCCGAATAAAATGGTCTGATCCACAATTAGAAATGACTCATGATTGGTTCCCTGCGGTGAATCTCATTACATATTCATATTTATAAGTACAAGTTTTAATGGCACATTTTCACATCTCAAATGTTTTATTTTTTCAACGAGAATCTCATGGCTCTGACATTCTTCCACAATATCTTGTCCTTGTATTGGCAGTCGACTGTCTCCATCTCTCGACTGACTAGAACCACTCTGAAAATAGAAGTTTAAAAACAACGTTATCCCTTTGACAATATTTTTTTGAAAACAAATGTGGATGAGACCGTGAAACAGTTGAATAAGGCTGGGAAAGGGTTAAACCTTACTGTGAAAAGTAAGGCCGTGAAAAGGCTGAATCAGGCTAGGAAAGAAGTCAGTCACACCCTAAAAGGGTTGAATCAGGCTATGAAAAGGAATTAATCACACTGTGAAAAGGTTTAATTGGGCTGTGAATGAGGTTAACCAGGCTACAAGAAGTTGAATCAGACTTTGAAAGAAATTAATCAGACTGAAAAGGTTGAATCAGGCTGTGACAGATTTGAATCTGTCTGTGAAAAAATTCAATTTGGCTGTGAAAGGATTGAATCAGGCTGTGAAAGGGTTGAAACTGGCAGGGATAGATTAAATCTAGTTATAAAGAAGTTGAAGCAATGTGATTATTAATAAGATAATACAATGTCATGAAAACTAAAGATCGGAATATACATCACAATTCTAACTGCAGATAATTCAAGTACTCAATACACAACTGAAATTAATAAACTACACTGTAAACCATTCAATTTTTGCAGCTATCATGATTTGATTTGCATTCATGAAAACAAAAATTTACGAAAGTCACTGACAGTCAGCGTCTTAAGGCACCATAGAAACATTTACTGCTAGAGAATTTCATAACTGTCACTGACTTTGTCTGTCTCGCAAAATTGTAGTGGTTCACAGTAAATATCCAAGTCAAAGTATGAGTTGAAATCACAGACATCATCCTGCCCATGATGGAAAACATCTTCATACAGAATATAAATTGTTTTTCTAATGACATGAAATGGCAGCTGACCTGAGTTCTAAATACTATCAGATAGCTGAATAATGCTGTCTTCATTCACGGATGGATCTACATTAACATCGGGTGCAGGCATACTACTCGGTGACAATGCTACGAAAGATAGAGGAGGGGGAAAGTAAAATAGCTGTATCCCGATTAATTTGCAATGACTACTTCCAAGCACAGAATTACAATCAATAGCTATTTCCATGAAGATTCGCACAATGTATCAGTCTTTCTTTCATTCTCGTGCAATTAGTTACAGAGGAGAGTACTTGCTAGCAAATTATTCAAATCAGTGAGTAGAATTACTATGTGTGACGGGGTAATCTAACTTGAAAAACAAATTTTGATCTGAATGGAAATAGTGAGCCCATACTTGATTTGCTCTATCACAGTAGCACATGCGTTTATGGCAGTCTCATGGTACTCAGTAGCCTGTCGTGCAAAATTAAAAGGGTTGGTGATCTACGATTGTGATAGTGTGCTTGAAAGAAGCTATGATTAAGCTATGAGTGCAACCGCTTGGAAAGGAAAAAGTGCATTCCACTAAAACATTCACTACCACCATGTTTTCTGTGTTAGAAGCTGAATTAGTCATTGTAACACATTTCACACACAATACTTCACTTAAATTATATAATAAGCCACTTTTTCCCTATTTCCCATACAACATTACAATATTCTCAGAAACAGTGCCAATAATGTTGCCTTAAACCATTGGAAAATAAGAACATCATTCGCATAATAAAAGTCCCACTATTGTGCTCGAATTTAAAATGTTGTATGTTTGTGATAAAATAATAATTCACTTTGTTCAAATGTAAAATGATTTTAGAATTCACTAATTCATCATTTTAATAAATCTGACTTCATCCATAAATGGATAGTTTTCTCTGCTCACTGCTGATATTGATTGTGTCCAGATACAACAGCTTAATAAAATTGAAAGCATCAAAGTAAAACAAACACCATTGGCGATGTTACTAAAAATACTGCAGTTTTCGTAATTAGTTTATTATGGCATCTGTTGTAATCTTTACATGTCTTTGTTTTTGTATTGCGCGCACAAGATATGCAATAACTATTTATTTTATCAAAAAGTATATTCACAATACCCGGTATATTTAAAATGTCTTTGTGTTTTTGTACTCTGAATATAAAAATATAAATATGCAATAACAATTTATTTTATCAATAAATATATAAGTATACTTAAAATGTTGTTGTTGTTGTTTGTGTATTGTGTATATAATTATTTTAATAATACATAAACTTTATATATGCTGCAAGAAATGAATGAAATATTACATTATTATAATTAATATGAGGTTATTACATGGATACCGCAAAGAGACAAAAGCTGGTATTTAAATATGTTGAGTTAGAGTATTTTTCAAACGACCAAGTAAAAACTGTCTCTGGTTTGCAGAAATGTTGAAGTGTGCTTCGAATACAGGGAATATGCTGTTACTTGGAAATATTAAAGGAAACCAGTTTACCAACTATTAAAAAAAATTTTTTTTAAATGATTTGAATCTGTGTGAATATATTTTTTGTGGTTTTGAATGAAGGCAAAGTAAATGACACAGTTTGAAAAATTTAAATAATAAGCTAATAATATTTGGTTGCCATCGTTACCTGATTCATCTCCTGATGAGTTTGGTTGCGGGAGCTCATCAATGTCACCAAAATTGAGTTCTTCAGCTGCTGTTGATGATGAACAAGACATATAACTATTTGGCCGACTCCCTCGATGTGGCGAATTTGGCGATTCAGTCGTTGTCTATGTACGACTTGACCCAACGACTGTTCCGAGTCTGAAACAGACAGTCCTTGGACATTGTCTGTTATTTCTTTCACATCTGTATCTTCCTCTTCGTCTTCCACAATAACGTCCTGTAAATCAAACATGTTTTTTTAAATACATTGACAGAATAAAATAACACAGGCTCTGTGGCTGCATGAAAAGCTCTGTAGTATGTATAGAAGCAGACAAACACAAGGAATCAATAGAAAAAATACTTGATAAATTATAAACGCTTTATAAGGTGTCAAAGATTCAACTGCCAACCGCATGTCCCAGCGTGGCTTCTGTAGGGCCACCCCGTTGCATGTTTTCAGGCTAGAAACATACAATAAGTATGAAATACTAAGATATCTCTTTAATACAGGGATATTAGATGGCCAAAAGTGACTCACACTAGTTCTGGGGCATTAGATAGGCAATTTGGTGCCTTGGTCGTCAGTTCAAATCAAACTTGTAATATACTATATAAAGCAGTTACTTTTCATGTATTATTTTCTTGATACATACCAGCAGTAATTTAGCAATATGACCTTTGTTAGTCCCGATATTACATTAATTATGAGTATTAATAATAAGAAATTGAAAAAAAACACAACAACAATGACTACCGGTACTTCTTTATTACCCAGAGTGCAGCACTTCGTCACTGGAGAGATTGCTTCTCATTGTGAGGCCTTATTTTCCTAAGCCTGGAATGGTTGAAAATCTGGGAATAAAACCTATTTGTACTACTACAAGTGGCTGGTGCCAGAAACTAACCCTAATTGCTGATTTAATGTAATTTAAACTAGTAATTT